CGCCCTGGCTTCCGGTCTGCTGAGCCATCTGGGGATTTGTGCCATTTCAAATGTGATCCCGTAGTTGCTTCTGACTTCTGAGGCCATTACCTGTCCTGCTTCATAGCCATCTCCGATTGTTGTGGGGATTCCGTGTATGATAAATTTAGACCATCTGGAATTAACTCTGATGTCAACGAAGGGGACCTTGAGTTCTTTCAGGGCTGCTTCGATTTCTTGTTTGTATTCGAAGACTTTCGAGGCGGGTGTGGCGAATTTGGTTTCTAGGACTATGTTGTTTTTTGAAGTTTTCCTGGCGGCGATGAATTGGCAGTCCAGGTTTTCGATTTTGGAGTTGATTCTTGTCCTGATGTCAGAGGGGGTGACTGGTGATTCTTTATTCGTTTGGATGACGATCTCTCTGTTGATTTTGGTGACTTCCGGTTTGAATAGGGGATCTGCTTTAGGCTTGGGTTTCCTCTTGTTCGTGACGGTGGTGTATTCGGGGTTGGCGTTTCCTGCTGCTATGGATGCATAGGATTTTGGTGCTGGTGGGGTTGGAATCTCTTTGCCTTTTCTTTTTGATTGTTGGGCATGGTTCGGGTTGTTGGCGTGGTTCATGTTGTTGGCGGGTGTGGTGATAGGAGCGATAGTGGCAGCGGCGATGGAGGCAATTGCGGATGCTCTTCCTTCGTTGACTGCTTGGTTGCTAGGTCTGTTGACGGAGAGGTTGGTGAGCTGTTGTTGGAGACGGTGGAGTTTTTCGGAGGTTTTGTCTTGGTTCTTTGTCATTTCAAACATTTGTTTGGCCAGGACGTCGACGGTGTGTTTAAGGGTTTCGTTTTGGGTGGATAGGACTTCAATGGTAGCTTTTAAATCCTTGTTGATCTGTTCGGTTGTTTGGTTGAGGGGTTCAAGTGCTACAGTGAGGGCGTTTCTAATTACCCAGTAGACGTAGTTTAGGTCCATTCTGGCGTGGGTTTCTTGGGGAACGATGCTGGGGTGGATGTAATCGTATTTTGGTGCGTATGGCTCATTGTATTGGGTGTGTTCAGCGAAGATAGAAAAAGGTTCATTACCGAGCTGGGTTTGTTCGATGGTGGTGGACTGAGTTTGTTGGGTTGATTGGGTGTCGGGGAAGCGAGGGGGTGCCGGTGTTCCTGGTGGGCGGGCTCCTGCGAACCAGGAGCTCAAAGAGGCTTGTTGGGACATCACTGATGTTCCAGTTCGGGTTGGGTTGGAAAAGACTTCTGATATAGTTCTCTTTCTTCCTGCGAAATTTGGTGGGTTTGGTGGGGTTGGTGAGGCCAGGTTGTTGATTTCGCAACGGTCGCGAGGCTTAAGCGAGGGCTGAGGGGTAAGAGGTTCACAGCTCAGGGACTAGAGCGTGAATAACTTCGCGTACGAACAGATGTGCAATAAGATACCAATAGATTACGGAGTCTATTGACATACAGGATCGTGTTCGAGTAAAAGTTTTATCGAGAGTGCAGGCCAAAAGTTATTGTTGTTCGAAAGTTTTGGTGTTGCGCAGGGTAGATACAAGAGGTTCCGTGAAGAGAAGAGGAAAGGAAGGAAAACATGAAAAGGCACGAGACAACACCCCCTTATATATCCAACTCCTAGTCCGTTGATGACTAATATCCCGCGTAATGGAAACCGAAAGAACACAACAGAAAACCCATTACAAATCATAGTTCAACTGCGCAATTCCTTCTCTTCACAATCCAATCTATCACTTTAGCCGAAATATAATATTGCCGTTACAACTACATTCTGAGTGCTAGGAAGAGGATCTATTCATGGGAGTAATAACTGACGAGTCTATGCCTCGCCAATAATTAGAAGGCCAGCCAGAGTGAAGCTCTGAGTGCTCGGCGATCCTCTATATCCTATGAGAATGACAAGTCCACCAGTATCGGAAAGGACGATGCCTGGGAAAGTCTACAATAAGCAAAGAGCTCTACAGCAACGATTAAGCTTACACGTGAGTGGTAGATCATTCATGTAGGTCCCGGTTGTGCGACAACCAGAACTGCAGGTGTTACAAAGACTTTGACTAAGGGTGGTTGCCTTGGGAACTGGGACCACCCGCTAATGCTTAAAGAGAGAAGTAGGGTAGTGGTGGTATTACTTCCCTTCCGCTAGAAGGTATCACCGGAATTTAGTAAGGTAGTAGGAGCAGGGAACGGAATCCTTTGGAGTAGAAGTACTCAGGATCTTTCCCGCCCAACTATCCGATTCCTCAGTCTTCAGAGAGTGATCAAGTATTCTACTCGGTAGCAGAGCCTTTAAAGATTATTGAGTTCTAAGCGATAAATCTTTGAATAATCTAAACCTGATTTCTATCTTGCATGACCACATCTTTCTATCGGATTCTAGCGATACGTGGAAAGACTGTCCCCATTACAATTGTAGACTTCCTAGGCATAGTCCATACCAACACCGGCAGACTTAATATTCTCAGAGAATGAAGAGGATCGCCGAGCACTCAGAGCTTCACTCTGACTGGCGTTCTAATCATTGGCGAGGAATCGACTCGTCAGTTATTGCTTCCATGAATAGATCCTCTTCCTATTGCTCAGAATGTAGTTACTCTGACAGCTGATAGCTAACCACACTTCCGGTACTTGCATGTTACTGTACAACAGGCTTCTAATAATAACTCTCAGTATGTAACCGGGCCCTGTGTATACTCATACACCAGACAGTTGAAGTGGCTCTGTTACAGCTACCCTAAGACGAAATTTAATTTTTTGCTGATGGATTGCTTCCCTTCTCCTAAAATGCATCGCCGGAACTTAGTGAGGAAGTAGGAGCAGGAAGCGGAGTCCTTTGAAATATAAGTACTCAGGATCCTTCCTGGCCAACTATCCGATTTCTCCAGTCTTCAGAAAGTTATCAAGTATTCTACTCAGTAGCAGAGCCTCAAAGATTATTGAGTTCAACTTGAAGCGATAGTATCTTTGAATAACCTGCAACCTGACTTCTATCTTACACGGCCACATCTATTCTATTGGATTCTAGCGATACATAGAAAGACTGTCCCCGTTACATTAGCGAGAAATTGACTTGCCAGTCATTCCTCTCATGAATAGATTCTCTTACTAGTGCCTAGAATGTAGTTACTCTGACAGCTGGGAGCTAACCACGCTGCCAGTACTTGCATGACACTGTGCCACTGGCTTCTAACAATAACTCTCAGCATGTAACCAGGCCCTATGTGTACTCGTACACTAGACAGTTAAGATGGCTTCGTTACAGTAGCTAGTCACACTGCTGGTACTTGCATGTCACTGCGCAACTGGCTTCTAACAATAACTCTCAACATGTAACCGTCCCTGTGTGTACTCATACACCAGACAGTTGTACTAGGTCTGTTACATCCTGATCCCATTAAAGCTAACCGTTTATGTAAATAAAATTGATTCCTCCAAGGAGCTCATCACATCTACAAAAGTATACTCGCGACCAGCAACAAGAACCTGAAAATGCACATCCTAATCTGCAATTTCCATTGGAGTAGAAGTCAAAATTACACCAAAGACTTGCACCTTCATATTCGGGTTCTTGTTTCTGGTCGCGAGTATTGTACTACTGTACCAATACGAAATCGTGCAAAAACCTCCAAACCCTCCATCCAGAGCAACGCAGTAACCTTGCCGCACTCGCCAGATACCGCTCTAGACCCGCCCAGCTTTTTTTTTCGTACTGTATAAAGTAGAACTAAACGTATACCCATAATAGATCGTGTATGACATTCTTTAACAATATCATACTATTCAATACACTTATCATCCGGCATATTTGAATTGCCACATATGATAGCCCGAGGCCATACGTGCATAAGAGCAACCCTTTCAGAGTACCTACATGTATGTAAGCTGATCATGAAGGTATGATATCAGCCGGGGGATTCTCACTCGTGTTTACTACAAGGGCTAGCGCTCACGTTTTTAGTCCTTGTAGATATAAGCTATGTACGTCCTCCATTTGTCAATATTAAGCGCCGTATCTCTGAATCTCGATCGCTGGAGGGGGCATGCTGGGGACTGGCGAACCTGGTAACAGTCTGCTGTGGAACATCCAATGGGTCCTACAGGGCTCATTACCTCCACTCTCTTGCTCTAGTAAGTTAAGTACGTGTGTGTAAAGTACCTACTACATGTAGGTATGTACTCTACTAGTATTTCGCTGACGTTTTTGAACTGGGCCATTATTGCATACACCCAAAATCATGAGTTTGGCGTATTTTTATATGGCATGCAATATCAGTCGCGTCCACAAACGTTAGAGAAATACGAGTACTTCTTTCAAGCACACTCTCCCACACCAAGAACACCCACTTCAACGATTCGTACTTTTACTTTTTTATCCAGTACATAGTAGATGCAGGTAGGCATCAGAAGATCTGCGACAAGGAGGGATAAATTGCGTTTTCTTGCTAACTCTGCTTAGAAAACTTATTAAGACTCATCAACTCCCAGCAATTTAGAGTAGTAAGGCGCAATATCGTCTTTCGTTAATGCTTATCTCTCATCCGAACACTCTCGTGATACATACCACACTACACACTTACCTTACTACCAACTTAGTAATTCCCAACATTAAAGTTTCTGTCTTAGTTACAGGGAAGGGAGTAAGACACAGGCATACTTACCTGCAATGTCTTGCTTTTAGAATTTTAACGATTGGAGGGGTCCTAGTTTTCAGCAATCAGAACTTATTTGGGTTGGTCATTGCCGACCGTACTACATACCAGGATTCAGCTAGATTTGAAGCTCCCGAGATCTACCATCCGTCTCATGAGCTGAAGGGGTACTATTGACCGAGACGCCTTGCAGGCATCACATCTGGCCAGCAAGTCTCAGCCTACATATAAAATAAGACCCCGCTCGCACGATGTATTAATGAAAACAAACATTTGGCCATATCCTCTACCATAATTCATTTCCCTATTACCATATTGTCATCATATATTCATTCCTAAGTTAAACACTTATCTTCAAAGATACAGCAATATGCCTGTACTCGACCCCTTTGGCCACAAGGTTCCTAGCCGGAAACGAATAATAATCTGTTGTGATGGTATGTACATGTAGCTGTCTAATGAGCTTATTAGTGCCCATTGTAATGACATTAATCTTGTTTTCAAGGGACTTGGCAAAGCTCCGACGGGGGAGAGCCAAGTGTGCCCACCAATGTTACCAGGATCACAAGAGCCCTAAAAAGCTATACGAAAAAGGACGGTATATCTCAGATCGTTTATTACCAGAGCGGAGTTGGAACAGGCGGGACACTGAACAAGATACTTGGCGGTGAGTTTATTAATTTATATACACCATGACACCTATTAGTATTCGCTTTGTAGTAGTACATTGCCAGTTTTGATTGCATCCAATTGGCCAACCATCTTGTCTGAGCAATCCTTAGGCTTAATGAGCTATGATTTCTCTCTCCTCGGAATTAGGCTGACTTTACTATCGATAGGGGGCACTGGTTATGGGCTAGACGAACATGTTCGGGAAGCATATTGCTTCTTGTCTCATAATTACCATCCGGGCGACTCAATTCACCTTTTTGGATTTTCTCGGGGCGCCTACACTGCTCGGTCAGTCTGCGGATTGATATGTACAGTCGGTGTCTTAACAAAGAAGGGAATGGATGAGTTTCACGATGTTTGGAGTAATTATACCAAAAGAAGATACAAGGAAGATCCTGGGTATTATCTCGAGACCTCAATCCTTCGTTCCTATCCTACGCCAGACACTTTTAGTCTGCGCCAAGGATTTTGGCCTAAAAGTTGATTGGGTGGTTACAAATTCTGACAATAACAGACTTCTCAAAGAGCTTCAAGATAGGGAAGATGGGAAGCTCGTAATCTCTGGTGTAAAGGTCAAATCCATTGGATGCTGGGATACAGTCGGATCCCTTGGAATTCCCAGTATACGCGTTCCGTTTTTCGGAGAACTAAGCATCGCTCGCGGAGAAAACAAAACGTATCTATACAGGTTCCTCCCAACATGGTATTTTCTGGCTCCTGACAATTCAAGTAGCTTCCACAACGTTGAACTTTCCGATGAAGTCGAAAATGCTTTTCATGCCTTAGCACTCGACGAGCATCGGGGTCCGTTTACCCCAACTCTTTGGAAAAAATCTCCTTTCTCGCCCACAAACTTAAAGCAAGTTTGGTTTCCAGGCGTGCACACAAACATCGGAGGTGGTTATGATGACCAGGAAATCGCCGATATAACGCTAGCCTGGATGATCCAACAACACCTACCCTTTTTAGAATTCAGTAAAGGCTATTTGAAGAGCATAATCAAGAATCATGAAGATTATACTCGGGAATGGGCTGCTGGGTTAATATACGACTCTGCCACAGGAATGATGCGAGTTTTTAGTGGAAGCTATAGAACTCCTGGTGGGTATGCTGATTCGACTGAGGGTGTTGAAATGGAAGAGTTTATCCATAAGTCAGTAAGAATAAGGACAAAGATGATTGAGGGATGGGAATGCAGGGCACTTAAAGGCTGGGTGTGGAAAGAAGACGAAGGTCTGTGGGAAAAGGATGGAAAGAAACTCCTTGAAGATACCTTGGGGAATGTTGAGAAGAAGCTTGCCGGGAAACATGTAGTAAAGAACATGTTGGGCGAGGTGATGCCCAAGGACGTCGAGTGGTAAATGTAGATGACCATTAGTTTGAACAACGCGCCTTAGAGTATAACTATACTGAGCTTGTAGATAATGGTAGCGGAAACTGATCTCTCCTACTGTCAAGTTCAGTCGTGACTCAATGAATTAATCAAAAAAAGGTCAATCGCGACTTAAACTCAAATTCATAGCACTAAGTATCTATATGCCGCCCGATGATAGTCTCAATGCTCCAGGAGTCCTTTGTACAGCCACTCTGCAAAAGTGTTCGTGATTCCGGTTTCGGAGTGAGACATTTTCTCCATATGTAACCGTGGCGGAGGATCAAGAACCCCCCAAGAGAAGACTTTCCCAGTGACCAGTGGCGCCCAAATTAATGAAGAATAATATCAATGACCTATCTTCTTTTATTTATAGTCACGAACTATATTAGATACATGTACATACTTAATATTAATAATATCGATTAAAGGGTAAACTCGGGCGGCATTTAAGGCAGGCTTTTTAATGGGCTGGACCGGTCTATATTTGACCTTGGGTCACCGGCCCAGCCCACCAAGGAATGGGCCCGGACCGACTGGCCCATATAGAGCCAGGACCGGTCACAGAAAAATAATATATGGTCCCTCCAAAGCTATTTATTGAAGTCGAAAGGGCTAAAAGGGAATTTGAAACCTGTTTTTCTCTCACAATCGGTGGAGAAATATATTCATAAACCGGCCCATATATTACTCTGCTTGACCGGTCAAAAAAACCATCAGGACCGGCCCAGCCCAGAAACAAAAAGTCAAAGACCGGCCCACCGCCCATATATTTGGACCGGTCCGGCCCATATATCTCGCGGCCCATTAAAAAGCGTGGTTTAAGGTGTGAGTCTAATTTCAACAGCTATAGGATAATCCTACACTAATGATTAGGAATCAATATTGCAATAGAGAGAGATACATACGACAGTAAAAATGGGAAAATTCGCGTATGTGAAAGTTATTGACGAAAGAATAGGTATGTGATCTCATCAATCTATCTCTCATAGATGTAGCAGGTATACATTCCTAGCCCAGAAGACGACTTAGCTAATAGCCTTGAAATCTCCTCTCGCACGACCTCGACATAACTAAGCTCGAACAAATGAGACCAAATCTAGCTTAGGATAGACGAGACAATCCTATGTCTTTCGAATAGACTGATGAGAAAATCAACCCTAGTGCTCGCCAAAAACGAAGTATGTTGATGAATTAAAGAGTTATGTACGTACATCGATAGAAGTTAGGTACATGAATGTACTTTAGCGAGTAGAGAGCCGCCAGGCCACCCGGCTCACAGTTGCTCACTCGATGTCCAGTTTAGCTTGTGACTTGGCTCACAGTGGCTCACTCGATCTTGAAATTTTTGTTAGCTTATCAACCGCGCCGCACCTCGGACTACATGTAGCTTGATTGATTGGCGTGTTATGTACAGAGTCTGGTAGAATTATTGCGAAAGTGGGTTTCCGTGACCCGATAGTCCCATTGGCTCTTGAAACGACCTTTGCTGTGAGCACGGACCAAGAAATCCACCCCTTTAGCGCTGACTTTCGCATTAATTCTACCAGACTCTGTACCTACATGTATTCATTACATGCAGCTCTCATCTGGCACTACTTTTTCGAAACCAGTGATGCGAACAAAACAAGAACATACAATATATATACAATACCAGGTAAGGGAATATAAGACGTATTGTACTAGGACAAAAGTTTTGGAAGATTACACTTTTTTACAGCCAAAGTACCCATGTTTTAGCGACCCAAACCACCCACCCAGCACCGGACAAAAATCTTCAACTCTTCAAGGACAATTGGAAATTACCTCAAGAAGGAGCTCAGATAATTCTGAAATTTCAAGCCCATTCCTCAGACGCGTGTGATCTAATTTTTAAAGTCATGATTTGAGTGTTTCTGATTTTGCATGGTGTTCCCATACAAATTTTGTGTTGCAACGGCAACCAAAAGTTGCACATGTACTTGCCCGATTATAAAGAGTAGGACGGAAATACAACGAGCTCAGCGCCGCAACGGCGCAACGCAACGCAACGAAGCCCAACTCGACGAAGCCCAATGCAATGAATTCAATTTGTTATGCTTGATAATTATTGTTACCAATATACTAGTATTTTCCTCCAGAAAAACGTATGGTTATGATACTTGCTCGGTGTTGAGGCGTTATATCAGGTGCGAGCACGTACAGTTGCGACTCACCTTTCCTTGTACTTCCGTCCTACTCTTTATAATCGGGCAAGTACTAACGGTACTGTCAATTCGAAATTATACAAAACTTCCGAATTAGATCAGAATCCTAACTATATGTATTATATGTACTGTAGTAATACCGTAGAAATACCGCAAAAACTGGTTAGAATGGACACGGCCCTGGCAAAGAGATAAACCTAACCCTCTGATTGCTCTAGCTCCATTTCCATTCTCACTAGTTTTTTGCGGTATTGCCGTAACCTACCAGATATTCTACTGGATTCACCTGCTTTTGTTTTGCACTGTAATGTACAGGTGTTAATGGACAACAACCATTTATCGAAGGGAAAAGCGCCGCCGTCTGTAAGTTAACTTTGGCCAGTTATTCTAGAGCTTCATACATTCATCTTTATTTCTTCTACGTATATATGTACCTCTTTAATTAATCAGCTATAGGAGAAAAGTACCAGCTTCTAATCAAAGCCTATCATCTCGTACGAGCAAGGAGAAGTCCAGCGTACTACGCAGCGGTACACTATTAACAGTAAAGTATGTTTATATGTGCGTAGTCTTACTACCATCTACTTTTATAGTGGTTAGTTTAACGTGGTTGGTTTCGTATGGTTTTACTCGTTGTGTAGTCTACGCACGTACACCAGCATATATATGGTGGACATCAACGGGCCACCACCGCCACCAAAAAATACCGAATGGGTTTGGGAATGAGATATTACATGTAGTTAGTCTCGTACTCATTCCCTACGAGTAGTTTGCTGCTCAGAGACTTGTGTGTACGTATAGAACCCAAAAAAGTAATGAAATAGTACTCTAATATTAGCGGTATTGGACGTTACCGTCCCAGCGATTCCGTGACGTATAGGAAAATATCTTATAATGACCCAACACTCCTCAACCAAAATTCACAACTAGAAAAATTCTTTATAAAATCAAACTGTATTACATATGCACAAAAAGACGGCCCTCACTAGTAAATTATATGACAAGCGAGGATTCCACTCATCGACTATAACTTCCATAAATCGGTAAATTATAAACTGTCACGAGTATACTCCAAACCGCAAACCAAGCTCGAGTATTAAAATTAAAGAGGAAAACTAAAGTCAATTTGCAATTAGATTATTCATTGATAGATTGATTCGTTAAACGCTCAAACTACAGGGCATCTTTATTAAAGTCTATAAATCTAGATCAAGCTACCTTAAAGTCTCGAGATTAACTCATCAACCGCATTACAGGTATAAAGAATTGAAATTTCGCCCAAACAGTAGCAATGGTCGGGACAGCGGTTTTTTTTTTCTTTTTTTTTTTTTTGCTACTATCGAGAACATATTTATATTAAGTACAAATTTCCCCGTGTAGACTCGTTCGGGGTTGACCAACTATATATAATATTATTGAGAATGCTATCATCGGGACTCCATTACATATTTCCTTCCATCAGGTCGACCATCCTATATATCTAAACCTAACAGTCTGTAACCATCTATGGCTGTTGATGTACGGGATTTCTTAAAATGGGGATATTTACGATTATTTTAGATGAATTTGAACAGTATCAATAATATCGTAGTATATATAGTACTTAGACAGAAGTTTTGGTAATATACCTTTTTACAGCCAAAGTAGCCATGTTTAAATACCCGAAGCAACCACCCAACCTCATCCAAAAAATTTCAAAGTTTCAAGGACAGTTAGGAATTATCTCAAGATGGAGCACAGAGAATTCTAGAATTTTAAGTCCATTCTTCAGGTGTGTGCAATCAAATTTTTAAAGTCATGATTTAAGTGTTTCTGATTTTGTATACAAATTTTGTGTTGCAACGGCAACCAAAATTTACCAAAACTTCTGTACCCCAACTATATATACACATATATATTTATGTGGGCAGTCTGTAAAATGTAGTATTTTCAAATTTGCGTCTCTAATCAAGTCTATAAATGAATACCTATATATAATATCCTTGAGATAGTCATGGTTCTGCGCATATTTTGGTGGCATCATGGAGACTTGGCGCGTCCAATACTCAGTCATACTTAAGCAAGCTACGATTTGTTGAAATATCTTAATGGTGTATACTACTTTTGACTAATTCAAGAGAAGTCTATGTACTCCTCCTAGAACTATAAAGCTCCGTCGAGTGTAAAACATCTATATAAAATAAACAAACCTCTACACATCGACCTTACATGATATTTTTAATGCGTCTTGCTTGGCCAAAAATGACGGGTAAATTATAAACATACAGTAGAGCTTGGTTAATGAATATTTCTATGGCCATTGAGACGGCCATGCATGGAGTAACAAATTTAAATTTTGAAGATTCTTCTCGATAAAAATAAAAGACTTTCCTCGTCAATAAAGGAGGTCATATGTTTCGGTTCTAACACTATATACAGGGTGTTGGAAATTGGTGCATATTATATATTAATTACGAACTGACAATGCCTAAATACCCCAAACTGCAAATATTTACCTACTAATATCTTAATATCATATTAAGACAACACACTCCTTAAATACGCAGAACCCTCTATAGAATGCCAGCTAATTGGTATTTTAATGCAAGCCATATTTCTTTCAGGCGGGGTGATGGCCACTATTAGATAGCAAGTATGTGCAAAAACTTTATCAAGTCAATTAATGAAGTAAATCAAATCAATCAAAAAAATTTGGCTAGGTATTCTAGATGCGAGTGACATATCATGATTAAATATAATTCCCACAACGCTGATCCAAAGGCTTTCATAGACCCAATGCAACTCAATACTCAATCTATCAGAC